CCTCCCCCTCCTCCACCTCCTCCTCCGCTTCCTCCTCCTCGCTCCTCCTCCTCCTCCTCCTTCTCCTCCTCCTCCTCCCTCTCCTCCTCCTCCTCCTCCTCCTTCTCCTCCTCCCTCCACCGCCCACCACATGCCCCGAGCTGGTGGCAGGGTCATCAGCTCGTCGTTGTCGTTGTCGTCGTGGTCGTCGTCGTTTTGGGTCAGCGGCACCAGCTGTACGGCCTTCACAATGATCTTCGGGGCTCACTTGGGGGAATCACCATGGGGGGGACGTCCGCTCCCCGGACCCCGTCGGGTCGTGCCAAAAGAAACCGCGGCGGGAATCATCTTCGGGGCCTGGCTTGGGGGATCAGAAGGAGGAGGAGGAGGAGGAGGAGGAGGAGGAGGAGGAGGAGGAGGAGGAGGAGGAGGAGGGAGGAGGAGGAGGAGGAGGAGGAGGAGGGGGAGGAGGAGGAGGAGGGGTGGCGTCCGCTCCCCGGACCCCGTCGGGTCGTGCCAGAAAGGCCGCGGCGGGAGGTCTACAGTCAAAACTGCCAGTAACGATGCGCGATGAAGATGCTGACTACCTACCAGTCCACCCCAACCCAACCTGAAGACCCGCATTTTGGGTTGGGGGGGGGTACGGGTTCCATATGTGTTTTTTCGATGTTCCCCGACCCCCCCCCCCCCACACTGGAAATGGAGGGCAAACTGAGGCCTTCGGGTTGGGTTGGGGTGGTTTGGTGGGTGGAGAGATGCACGCCCCGTAGACGCCCGCGTTGGAGCCTTCTCGAGCACGGCGGGCCCCTGCAATCGGTCAAGGATGGACCAAAGAGGCACCGACGCAAGGGTACCCTCGGGAAGCTTGCCAATCCTTGCTACCGATTTCGACTGCACTTTCGATGGGCGAAATCATATTCGGGGGCCCGTTGGGGGGAATCACCATGGGGGGGCGTCCACCCTCAACAGGGGTGCGTCCAGATAGCCCTCTGGGGGTGTATCCCCGAGTTCGCCTGAGCGGTCAGCTGCTTTTGGGGGAGCTGGGAACTGGGGGCGAGACCTCGGCCGCAATCCTCGTCCCTGATCGTGGCCCAGGACAGGCAGCGCCAAGGCCAGAGGGTGTCCCAATGCCTCCGACGTGTCGAAAAAAGGGCAACATGTTTCGAATATATCTTTACCAGTGTTCGGTCCCGGAAGGCCCTCGCCAGGCCTCGAGGCCGTCAAGCGAACGCCTCGCATGAGAAGTCGGCCCAGGGGAGAGCGTCGGAACCTCGAAGGGCCCCGCATGGGGGAAACAACTCTCCCTGGGCCAGGGGACGTCCGCTGGCCACCTCGCCGATCTTGGCTGAGCCCGAGAGGCGGTCCGCCGACAACCCCCGGCAGGGCTGGAAACCGCTGGCCCAAATCCACCACCGAGCCTCTGAGGCACGATATCGGAGTGCCGTCCCCAGACCCCCGACGTAATGATTTTTTCATTACGTCGACCAGAGGTCTTGACCCCTTCCCCATGACCGACTTTGCATCCTGAGTCGTTTTTTGACGCTCCCGAGGCCCGGTGAGGGCCCCCGGAGGCCGAAAATTGTGAAAAACCTCCCGTCATGATTTTTTCATTACTCGAGGGGGTCTGGGTCGTGTCCCCTGCCCACTTTCCCTGGAGCCCCGGTCCCGAATCCAGAGGATCATCTTAGGGGCCTTGACGCCGCCGACATCCCTCGGGGCCTGCCGCGTGGCTCCCGGGGCTCGTCGCACGGCCTGCTCGGGCTGGCGGGGGCCCCCACGGCGGGCGCAGAGTGCCCCAGCGAGGCCCCCCGGGATGGCCCCCGGGAGGGGGCCGAATCGCTGAACGATCGGTCGAAGACGCCCAAGATGGCCCCCAGTCGGCCGAAAAAGCGCCCACGACATCCCAAGAGGTCTCCAGGAGCCTCCCCAAGAGAGTCCCACCAGGCCAAGACCATGGATTCGCCTCAGTCAATGCTCAATGCCTTTTGGGTTCTCCACTTTTCGAGCTTCCGACGCTCCAAACGTCCCAAGAGGCCCCCGAGACGGCCCCAGAGCCCTGCAAGAGGGCCCCAGGACGGCCCAGCAGGTGCCCAAGACGGCTCAATAGACGCCCAAGACGGCCCAAGAAGGCCCTAAGAGGACCCCAAGACGGAAGCACGAACCGAACATCTGAGCCGTCCGCCCTAAGAGGCGCCCAGGAGGCCCCAAGAGGCTCAAAGAGGCCCCCAAGAGGCCCCCAAGAGGCCCCCACGAGGTGCCCAAGGCCCCCCCAAACAGGGGGCCTCAAACTGCCTCCAGGCCCCTGGGAGGTCTCGACGAGATCCCACGGAACATCCAAGAAGGCTCAGATCCACAACCCTGGCACGATGGCGCAATGGGCCGAAAGACACTGTATTTTGACGTCTACTAGCCGGCCTCCCTGCGGTTGACCGGAAGTTTCTGTATACAAGAAAAACGGACGTGCGCTTGTGGGCGAGAAGAGAATGAGCGGGAGGCGGTGGTGCTGCGGGTGACGTGAGGATGAGAAGGGTGAGGATCAGGAGGGCGAGGCTCGCCATCCGATCCACACCACCTCATCCAACTCTCCTCCTCCTCCTCCTCCTCCTCCTCCTCCTCCTCATCCCTTTTCCTTTTCCCCCTCCTCATCCTCCTCCTCCTCTTCCCCGTCCTCCTCCTCCTCCTCATCCTTCCCCTCCTTTTCTTCTTTTTCCTCCTCCTTCTTCTTTTTTCTCTCCTACTCTGTCTGGCTGCGCCAGAGGCGCCGCCAGGGGCTACAGCGCCGATCCAAGAGATCCGAGCGGACATTCGAACATTTCTGCTCATGCCGTGTGTACTTTTCGACGACCAGCAGCCCAGGCTGGTCAGAGCTCAACCGAATCGTGACATGACTGGATCGAATCGAAATCGCATCGCCGTGCGCCTGGCTCCAGCTGGCACCAGCCGATGCCAGTGAATCGAACCGGACTAAAACGAATTTCGAGGTTCTTCTGACCTGGGTCAATCCAGACCCGGGTCAGTCAGGCTTTGCAGGATCCTGCCAGGTCCTGCAGGAGCCTGCACCCAAGCCCGGGTCAATGCAACCCTGGCCCCTGCAGGATCCTGCAAGAGACCCCGCGCTCGGACTGACCCCCGCTTGCCTTGACCCCCCCCCCGACGGGGGCCCTCCGAGAGGAGGAGGAAGAGGAGGAGGAGGAGGAGGAGGAGGACGAGGAGGAGGAGGAGCAGAAGGAGGAGGAGGAGGAGGAGGAGGAGGAGGAGGAGGTCTAAACTTCCCAGCCGCCCCGAGACTCGGAGGCGCGGCCCACGGCCGGCGCATCGCAGCGCGTCGCCATCGGATCCTCTGCGGCCCTGCCGGGCCACCCGGCCTCGCCGCCCGTGGCCACCCGCGCGGTGCGCCCGGGCCCCCTCGCACCGCCTCGCTGTTCGGCTCCCCGGCGCAGCAGGCGCAGCAGGCGCGCGGCCGGTGCTCTGGCGCGCCCACGGCCGGCGCTTGGACGCCTGGCCTGGCCCTCGCCACCGCTCGGGCGCGCTTTCCCCGTGCACTCTCCGATCTGCTCGTGCGCGCGCTTCCTGGGCCGCAGGATGACCCAAGATGCTCCGCGACGGTCCTCGCCGAGAACAGATGCACGCGTCCCAGCGATGCCAAGGGCCTGGAGGTTCCTCAGAGGTCCAGAGCGTGGCCGGAGTGGCCCCGGGCGGGTCCACAGCGGCTCGAAGCTGGTCCAGAGGCGCTTGCTCGACTCGCGGTGGTCCACTTGGGCGACACGCTTGATCAATTGCCTGTCATCTTTGCAGCACGCAGAAGAACATGTCCGAGATAGGTATTTAGACCCCCCCCAATCTAACTAACTGTCCGCTCGACGCCATTATTGACGGACTGGGGCCCCACCAATCATTGGAAATAATTCTTCCTCCGCGACACGAGCAGGAGAAGAAGGTGCAGAGGCAGGAGCAGGAGGAGGAGGAGGAGGAGGAGGAGAAGGAGGAGGAGGAGGAGAGGAGGAGGAGGAGAGGGCGGAGTTTATTCCCCGCCGAGAGAAACAGGGAGACAAGGGGGGATCCCCAAAACGAAAGATCTCCCACGGTTGCCCTCATCCGTCCCTCCTCCGTCTCCAGCTCTTCCGTCCGCCTGGCTGGGGGCCGCCTAGAAGGGGTCAGGGCAGCTGAGGTCGGAGGATCGAGACCCATCGCCGATGCTTCGGCGACGTTGGGATGGAGACAATCGCGATCGGGCTCCGAATCGAGCCGAATCACCAGTACACCAGCGACGCGGCGCGATCCTCCGACCCAGTCTGCTCGGATACCATCCAGGCGGCCTGGGGTGGTGGCGTGGGCGCCCGTTGGCTCGCTCGCAAGCCCGTAGAGGACCACGCGCTCGACGCGGAGGTGGGTGTCCGGGATGCCAGGCGCACCCTGCCGGGGAGGGAGCTGACGAGGGCGAGGGCGAGGGAGAGATCGGGCCGCGCGCTCGGCGCAGCAGCGGATGTCCCAAATGCCCGGCGCAGCTGGCCGCGGACGAGAGGAGACAGAGGAAGGATGGACCCAGACTCTTTTTGTCGCAGCACCGCGTCCGGGGGCAGCCGTGGGATGCAAGGGGGCCGAAGTGGGCAGAGCAAGCGAACGGGGAGAAGAAGCGCGCGGAAAAGGGGGGAACACGTTCAGAGCGCGAAGTCCTTGTCTGAACGTGTGTGCCGGAGCACTGCGCAGCGAAGATGTGGAGGATGGGCCCTGACATCCTCATGTTGCGAAAACAAAAACACGACGGACTTTTGTCTTGCCATTTTCGGCCTCCCAACACCCTGACTGAACCCCCGGGGCCGTCAACGAATCTTACCAGTCCGTGTGACATGGGTCCAGACCCCAATGGCTCTACGATGTGACGAAATCAAGACGTGGGTGCCTGGGCAGGATGACGACGATGGTCTTCTCTGCAAGCGTAGAAAACAGACTGCAGGTACGCAGTACGCGACCGACCTATGCGGTAAATCCGCTGATGACCAATGCGAATTCACAAGTCTTCACAAATGCGGCTACGCCTGTTACTTGCCACCGCGCCTTGTGCACAAGCGTGGAAGAATGCCAAGGGCTGTCTGGTAAGGTTGCTGTACTCTAGTGAAGGACCCCTTCACCCCTCGTCTCGCGTCTACTTGCATGCATCGCCCCCCCTCCCGAACACCATCCCTTTCGTATTTCAGGCATGATGTTGCGTGTCGCGAACGGCAGTTTGCTACTTATTGGCTGGGATCCGACTAGACACATGGCTTGTGACAGAGCAGCGCTCATAGCAAACACAGTGAAGACTATACCCAGGAATACAATAATGAGACAACGACACCCGTAAACAAATAAATCATCATTCCCGTGCGCGCACTAACATACATGCAAATGTGGCGTAGCAACAATAACCCGTAAAAGACTAACTCTTCATTCCCGCGTACGCACTAACATGATTCACTGCATTCTACAACTCCATATCGCACTCAGCTAGCTAACAACGATGGATCCGCGCCCCGAGCTTCCAAGACGGCCCATGCAGGCAACCAAGGACGCCAAGATGGCCAGATATGCCTCGAAGACGGCCCAATATGGCCTCAAGGCGGCCCAACATGGCCTCAAAACGGCCCAAGATGCTTTCAAGAGGGCCCCAAAAGGCCAGAAGAGGACCTCCAAAAGGGTCCAAAGATGCCAACATCATTGATTTCCCCTGGTTGTTTGCATGGTTTTCGCATTCTCGCCTTTTCGGGCTTCCGTCAGCTCAAGGCGGCCGAAGGCGCCTCCAGGTTGGCCCACCGACAGCCAAAGAGGCCCCCAAGAGCTTCCCAAGATGGCCCAATAGGTCTCACGATGGCCCAAGAGGCATCTAAAACAGCCCCAAGACGGCCCGAGAGGGCCTCCAGTGGGACCCAAGACGGCCTTAGACCGCCGTTCGACGGCCCAAGACGGCCCCCAGACACCCACGATACGACCAAGAGGGCCGCAAGACGGCCGAGGGAGCCCCAAGACGGCGTAAGAGGGCCCCAACCATAGGACCCCAAAGACTGCCTCAGAGGAGGCCAAGACAGCCACAGGACTGCCCAAACGACTTTCATGATAGCTCCTTGAGTAGTGAAGATGAACGGTGTCACATGTGACGACCTTCTTCTTCGTCGCCCTCCTCCTCCTCCGCCTCCTCCTGATCATTGTCATCATCATCGTCATCATCATCATCAGCATCATCATCATCATCACCATCATCATCATTTTCATCATCATAAACATCATCATCATCAAAACAATCATCGGCATCGCCACCACCATCACCATCACCATCATCCTTATCATCATCCTCATCCTCATCAGCACCATCATCACGACCACCACCATCACCATCATCACCATCATCATCACCACAATCATCACCACCATCATACCATCAACACCATCATCACCACCATCACCATCGCTATCACAATCACCATTACCATCAGCATCATCACCAGCATCATCATCATCATCATCATCATCACTATCACCATCATCATCTCCATCATCATCATCATCAACATCGTCATCGTCCCGATCCTCCTCCTCATCATCACCATCAGCATCATCATCAACAACAACGCCACCATCACCATCACCATCACCACCACCACCATCACCATCGCCATCGCCATCACCATCACCGTCACCAGTACCATCACCATCACTATCACCATCACAACCACCATCACCATCACCATCACCATCACCATCACCATCATCATCATCAGCATCATCATCATCATCGTCAACATCGTCATCATCGTCATCATCGTCATCATCATTATCATCATCGTCACCATCGTCATCATCGTCATTATCATCACCATCACAGGTATCATAGTCATGCTCATCATCATCCTCGCCACGGCGCTCCCACCCTCGAACCTTTGCCATGCAGATTGCTGGGCTGGCACGGTGGGGGGACTTGCCGCAGGCAATGGGATAATCCCCTCAGAGCTTGTCGCCACTACCAGTTCCTTTTTCTCCACCTCCTCCTCCGCCTCCTCCTCCTCCTCCTCCTCCCCTCATCTCCTCTCCTCTCCTCTCCTCCAGTCTCCCCCTCCCATCCCGCCTCCCATCCCTCCTCCCGCATCCCCCATCAGCCTCAGGCCCATGCTCATCGTCGTGCTCCTGCTCCTGTTCCTGACGGTGATGGCGCTGGGTGATAGCGCTCCCATTTGCTGGTGATGGCCTGGAACGGAGCGGAATGCCCGAAGGGAGGGTGTACAGCACGAAATACCTGTGTATGCACAGGGTTGCCGGCCCTTTTATACGAATCCTCTCGACGAGGGCGGCCATGCGCTGCTCGTGAGAGGGGGCTGTCCCTAAAGCCGTAGACGCTCTGCTCTAGAGGAACACCAACCGGCATAAGCATAACCTTTCGGAGCTCCGCGCGGATTTCTTGGATCTGCGCTGGACCCTCGTCCCTGCGGCGCTGGAGGCGCCGCCAGGGGACCCAGCGCAGGTCCAAGAAATCCGCGCGGAGCTCCGAACGTTCTTTGCTTACGCCGATTCTTCGTCTTCGGCACCCACCGTCGCAGAATCGGGGGGCACCGAAGACTTTGAGAAGTCCGACGAATCCCACAAAACCCTGAGACCGTCGTTGCGAAACAAAAGCTGCAACACCGCAAACGCTCACGACCGGGGCCCCAGAGCCAGTCTGCCTGCGTTCCTTTACAAGCCGGATCGATCTGCGAGGCTCGAGGGGCCCGCCGACGAGCGAAATGCCGAGTTCTCGTCTTCGATGCTCACCGCCGTAAAGTTAAGTCGGGTGTGTCCCCCTACAGGCGGATTTTGGACGAACAATTCGAAATAGTCAAAAGAAGCTCCAAGATTTGCCAAAAATAATCAAAACATCTTCCCCCGACTATTGTTTACTATGTTTGGATATTCCTCCTGTAGAGGGACGGGCCCGACTTAACCGCGGAGTCAGAGATCATCGAAGACTCCTGGAGAGCCCTCCCTCTCGCCGCGGAGGGGGGCGGGGCCACTTCCCTGGGGCCAGCTTCTCGCCCCGGGCCGCTCCTTGACGCTCCCGAGGCCCTGCGAGGCCCAGAAACGCTGAAACCTACCCAAATCCCGCCGCTCCCACTCTTTCGGGGGGGAGTGTCGGACCTCTGGGTCGGGGACGGGGGCCTGGAGTTAAGTCGGGCCCGTCCCTCTCCAGGAGGAGTATCCAAAAATGGTTTAAAATAATAGTCGGGGGGCGATTTTTGGACTACTTTTGGCAATTCTCGGAGTATTTCTGGACTATCTTTAACTTTTCCTCCAAAATCCGCCTGTAGGGGGACACGCCCGACTTAAGTCTGGAGAGCCATCTCGCCGGTCGGCCGCGGGGGAGCCGCACCGAAGTCAGGGTCCATCAAAGGGAGGGGGCCCCTGAGGGGGGGTGACTTCGATCCGCTGGTGCATCGAATTTCCGAAAAACGATGCCCCCCGCGCGCCCCGATTGTCGACGCCTCTAGGGTTCCGGCGGCGGCCGGAGACCTCGTTGTGCATAGTTTTGCTGCGGTTCGATGCGCCAACGGACCGAACTCCGCCCCCCCCTGCGCCCCCCTTCCCTTTGCGTGCGAGGTCCCGACGAAGAGAGCCCCGGACCGGCCGACACGCGCGCCGCCCCCGCGCCTGCGAGGGCGCCGCGGCCGCCGGCAGCGGCGGGGCCGGCGCCTGCGCGGCCGCGCGGCGACGGGAAGGGCGATCCTCCAAGGGCGCCTGACTTAAGGACGATCCTCCAAGGGCGATCTTCCAAGGGCGTCCCCATCGTACTTAAGGACCACATCCCAGGAATAACTTCGAGCACCCCGCCAAGTATCGAGACATTGCCTGCCCGACACGCTGGCGAGGTGCCGAACGAGTATATCGCCTCCCGGGGCACCCGACGCGTGAAAACGCCGTCCAGTTTCGATGCTTCCTTGGTGCTCGAAAGTCTTGCTGGCTTGTCAAGGCTAAAAGTAGGTTGAAACATCATAAGCCTAACTTCGCGCTTCGCGCTATGCGGAGCGCGAATGACTTCGCGCTCTCGCGCCGCCCCCCAGTGAAGAAGAGGCGGACGAGGAGGAATCGGAGCCGGACCGCGAAGCGCGAGCGGTCGGCAGAAGTAGACAAAACATGAAGTAGGAGGGAGGACGGCGAGTCAAGTAGATCGGGTTCAGGCCCTCCCAGAGAATAACAAGACACAGCAAGAGCATATCGCTTCTTGAGGTCCCAAGGCGCTTGATGTAGACTAGGATTGGGATCTGGACATCCCTCACAGGACGTACTTTCAACAACCGGCGCGACACCTCCTCGCGCCTTCGAGGGCGCCCTTGATCCTTGCTCCTCGGGCCTCGAATCTCGGACCTCGAGCCTGGGTCATCGGGCCGCGAGCCTCGGTCCTCGACCTCGGGCCTCGGGCCTCGAGCCCTTCTAGCTGCTGCTGCTGCTGCTGCCTCGCTCCTCGGGCCTCCCGCTGCTGCTGTGCGGCGGCCAGAATCACTGCGCCGGCTGCCCTCGGGGGGACGAATGGGCGGGGGGGGGCTGGCTGGTGGGAGGAGGCACGGACCGGGAATCGGCGGTGCAAGTGCCGAGAGCATGGCGATAGGCTCTCGCAAGCGGAATCGCCCGTTCCTGGGGAGGGTGGGCTGTGAGGCCCCTGTCGGCGAGGATGGGCGGTCGGGGCTCGATGCTTCCCCCCTGAACCAGTCCCCCCTGTCTTTACCCCTCATGCCTGGCGCCGCCGCGGTGGCGAACCCCACATGCGGCGGCAATCTCCTCCTCCTCCCTCCCGGACCCTCCCTCCTCCTCCTCCTCCTCTTTCTCGTCCTCTTTCTCGTCCTCGTCCTCCTCCTCCTCCTCCGCCTCCTCCCCCTCCTCCTCCGCCTCCTCCCCCTCCTCCTCCTCCTCCTCCTCCTCCTCCTCCTCCGATGTGGCCCGCAGGATCCAGCGGGCTCCCAGGGGGCCCAGGGGAAGCTTGCAGGGATCCCTCCTCGGCAGAAACGCGCAGCCCCCCGATGCAGCGTGTTGGATTGCGTGGCTCTGGGGCCTCGGTTTCCGAATCCTCCTCCTCGTCCTTCTCCTCGCCCATTGCTCCTCCATATGAATAATTTCTCCCTGTCGCACCCCGAGGTTTTTAGGGCGGGCCGGGCGTTTCGCCTGAGACTTCCTCACCATTTGATGACCCTGAAGCTTAAACGTTGGCAACAACTTCACAGATGGAGGGCGGGTGGTTTTCCAAATGTGGCTCTCGCCTTAGCGCCGCGCTCATTCGTTTCCAAAATTTGCAAGAGCTTCGCGGATTGCGGGCGGGTCGTTTTTAAAATGTGGCCCTCGCCTTAGCGCCGCGCACATTCGTTTTCACAATTTGGAAGAGTTTCACGGATTGAAGGCGGTTCCTTTTCAAAATGTGGTTTTCACCTTAGCACCGCGCACATTCGTTTTTTAAATTTGCATGGGTTTCACGGATTGGGGGCGGGTCGTTTTCAAAATGTGGCTCGCCTTGGCGCCGTGCACATTCGTTTACACAATTTGCAAGAGCTTCACGGATTGAAGGCGGTTCCTTTCCAAAATGTGGCTCTCGCCTTAGCGCCGCGCACATTCGTGTTCAAAATCTGCAAAAGTTTGACGGATTGAGGGCGGTTCCTTTTCAAAATGTGGCTCTCGTCCTAGCGCCGCGCGCATTCGTTTTCAAAATGTGCAAGAGTTTCGCGGATTGAGGGTGGATCCTTCTCAAAATGTGGCTCTCGCCTTAGCGCCGCGCGCATTCTGGATACACAATTGCACACTTGCACGGATTCCCATGATCGACGTACCAGATATGGTGTTTCGGAAGGATTTGCGATTTTGAAGGCGCGACAGTTAGGATGATTCGCGGAGTTGAGGTCTCAAGAATGGCTTTCTGGCACGATTCAGGATCGTCAAGACGCAACTGTCATGTTCATCCGTGGCGTTGGAATACCGGCAATAATGTTTTGGCATGCGTCAGGGTCTTCAAGCGGTTGTCTTCCAACGAGGCAGGTCCCTCTGTGGAAAAGGACCGCTGTAGGGGCCTTTGAAGAGGGAGCTTGGGGGGAGGGTTTACTCCAACATCGTTGGTGACTCTTGGGTTTGCACTGGTCCTCCTCCTCCTCCTCGTCCTCCTCCCCCTCCTCCTCCTCTCCTCCTCGTCCTCCTCCTCCTCCTCCCGCTCCCTCCTCCTCCTCCTCCTCCTCCTCGTCCTCCTCCTCCTCCTCCTCCTCCTCCTCCTCCTCCTCCGGGCACCTGCATACGATCGCAGTCATCGTGCTGCAAGCAGGGCGGCCAAGTGTGGAACAAAGGGGCTTCCCTTGCCACGGCGAGCCTCGGCCACGGATGGGCTCCCCGAGCCAGATCCGAGGAGCGGACCGAACACCACGGCCGTCCAGGACCTCCATCAGACTCTGCCCCTCTGCCACGGCGCCTACATCGTCGGTGCTCTTGCCGCTGCTGCCAAGGCAGACGCGCTGACATCTGCAACTGCCATGCTACCAATACTTTTTTCTGCTGGCAACATCAACCACGACTGGTGCTATGGTTCAGTCGGGCGTGTCCCCCTACAGGCGGGTTTTGGAGGAAAGATTAAAGATCGGAGGTGAGGTGGTGAGATCGAAGTGGAACGGAGAGCCTCCCTACCGGGAAATCGGTTTCGGTTTCGTGTTCGTGCGTGTCGTGCGTGCGGTCGAGGCGAAGCTGCATGGGCGGGCGAGAAGAAAGTCTCCTCCGGCTGAGTCGCGGCCAGACCAAATGATTCCTCTCCGGGGGCCGGTGCCGCGCGGTGTCCTGCTGGTGTCCCGCCTCCGGCTGAGGCGCGGCCGGACCAAATGATTCCTCTCCGGGGGCCGGTGCCGCGCGGTGTCCCGCCGGTGTCCCGTCGGTGTCCCGATGATGATGATGATGATGATGATGATGATGATGATGATGATGATGATGATGATGATGATGATGATGATGATGATGATGATGATGATGATGATGATGATGATGCTGATGATGCTGATGATGCTGATGATGATGATAATGATGTCGATGATGTTGATGATGATGGTGATGGTGGTGATGATGGTGTCCCGATGATGATGATGATGTTGTTGTTGACGATGTTGATGATGATGATGATGGTGATGCTGATGGCCATGGTGGTGATGATGGTGGTGTCCCGATGATGATGTTGATAATGATGCTGGTGTTGCTGCTGATGATGATGGTGTCCCGATGATGATGACGATGATGATGATGATGATCATGATGTTGATGATCCTGATGATGATGATGAGATGATGGCGATGATGATGCTGCTGATGATGAAGATGATGATGGTGTCCCAATGATGATGGTGATGATGAGGTTGATGATGATGCTGTTGATGATGACGATGATGGCGATGATGATGATGGTGTCCCGATGGTGATGTTGATGATGATGACGATGACGGTGTTCCGGTGATGATGATGAGGATGATGATGAGGTGATGATGATGTTGATGATGGTGGCCCGATGATGATGCTGATGTTGATAATGATGATGGTGTCCCGATGATGCTGATGGTGATGATGATGGTGACGACGATGATGGTGTCCCTATGATGATGTTGATGATGCTGATGTTGCTGATGATGGTGTCCCGGTGATGATGATGTTGATGATGTTGTTCATGATGATGAGATGATGATGAGATGGTGGTGTTCCGATGCTGATGATGATGATGGTGTCCCGATGATGATGATGCTGATGTTGATGACGTTGGTGATGATGATGTTGATGATGATGATGATGACGTTGGCTGTGAGATCGATTGTGATATCGATCGTGAGATCGATTGTGAGACCGAATGTGAGATCGATTGTGAGATCGATAATGAGATCGATAGTGAGATCGATTGTGAGATCGATAGTCAGATCGATTGTGAGATCGATCGAATGAAATAGATCGAGTGAGATCGATTGTGAGATCGATCGAGTGAGATCGATCATCGAGACAGTTCGTGAAATCGATAGTGAGATCGATAGTGAAACCGATCGAGTGAGACGTTGGTTCCTCCCCCCGCCGAACCTCCTCATCACCCGAAGGGTGGTCGTATAGGTATCCAAAACATACCCAATAATAATGAAACAATAATAGAAAAATCGCCCCAGACTATTTTTTTACTATTTTCGAATATTCCTTCTGTAGAGGGACATGCCCGAAATGATGCTACGGATACTGCCAGCACTGCCAACGCTGCGGCTGCCGTTTGTGCTTCACTTTCCCTGGCCAACTTCCACACCAAAGAGAGCGGACGAAACCCAACGCATCACGCGCGACAGCCTCGCTGAGCGTGCTGCCGTCGAAAATGAGCTCCTGCCAGCGGCTTGATCCGGCACTCCCCATTCGAAAGCACATCTGCAACGCATCTCCTCAGCCTCAGCAAGATCGGCACCCTCAAGCACTGAAGTCCTCATCCCCTGCGCTTCTCGAATCCTCGCCCCTCTCCTCATCCTCCCTCCTCCTCCTCCTCCTCCTCCTCCACCCCGCCCACCAACACAATAACGTTAACCTTTCTTGATGCCTTCGCTGGGGAGCAACCCCGGGTGGGCATAGAACTTGGCCGCCGAGGCCTTCTTAGCACCCTGCTTCCCATTGCACTTGGCTCACTCGAGCTTCCTCGCAGCTCACTTCCATTCGCACTCCCCGCCTGTCAGGAAGCTAATATGCAAATCCCTTCAGTACTAGCCGCAAGCGCCGCACACCTCGTTTCTGGAACCTCGGCCATGAATGATGTGGATAAGGTCATTCCTGTTCGCACCGTCCATTTGCCTCTCGATAGCGCCGGAGACCAGCTCTCGCAGTCTGCGCGCTGATACGCACTCCTTCAACTCGTGTGGGCGATGATCTATGCTACACAGCCCGCCTTCAACAGCTAGCCGCACGGGTGCACCTGAGCAGCAACAACACTGTGGCGACACAGGGGCTCGGCCAAATGGCTGCGCGAATCGCGTTTCTGAGCAGCATCGCCCTGCTCTGACAGATGGGCAACTGGCGTGACCATAAAGTGGAGGCCCGACCACAAGAAACCTCCCACAAAAAACCCAACCCCGAGACCTCAGGACGTCCATTGATTTTTGGTGTGGGACCGTCACGCTTTCCATAGCAAAACCATCGAAGCCCAAGGAACTCAGGGCACCCTGGAGGCAAGCAGGGTGTTTCTTGGCATGGGTCTCCACTGTAAGAGGTCCTGCTGTCATGTTTAGCTACCTGGAAGAAATCGGCACGAGCGGCAACGTACTGAGTAACGGTCGGCACTGCACTGGCTCCCTGCCTTCCGCATCTTCGAGCGAGCCAAGCCCTGTGAGGGTTTAGTTTTTGCAGCGGGCCATGTTTTTTCCTACATTCTAGGTGGGGATCTTGTTTCTTTGCACACACACACACACCCCGCGCAGGAACCTGACCACCATCCCCCTCGCCTCTCTCATCACACTCCTCGCCCCTCCTCCTCCTCCTCCTCAGCATCAGCAACAGCATCAGCACCGGCATCAGCATCATAATCTGCATCATCATCACCACCATCATCCTCCTCATCATCATCACCATCATCATCGCCATCGTAATCGACGGCGTCATCGTCGTCATAATCTTCATCATCTTCATCATCATCTTCATCATCATCACCATCACCATCATCAACATCATCATCATGATCAGCATCATCATCACCACCATCATCATCAGCATCAGCATCAGCGTCATCATCATCAGCATCATCATCGTCATCATCGCCATCGCAACCGCCACCATCACCATTACCAACATCACCATCATCTTCCTCATCACCATTATCATCACCATCATCATCCCAACCACCAAAACCCTCATCATCATCATTATCACCATCATCGGCATCGCCATCACCATCATCATCACCACCATCAACAACACTATCATCCTCATGTTCCTCCTCATCCTCATCATCATCCTCTTCCTCCTAATTATCATCAACAGTACCACCATCACCATCATCCTCACAACCATGATCATTATCAGCATCAGCATCAGCATCAACATTATCATCATCATCATCATCATCATCATCATCATCATCATCATCATCGTCATCATCATCATCATCACCATCAGCATCATCAGTATCAGCATCAGCATCACCACCATCACAACCATCATCGTCACCATCACCACGACCATTACCATCACCATTACCAACATCACCATCATCATCATCACCATCATCACCATCACCACCACCACCATCATCATCATCATCATCATCATCATCATCATCATCATCATCATCATCAATTACACCATCATCGCAAACGCACTCAAACACTCACTGAATTACTGTAGATCTCGCAATAAAAGGGAGGGGATCACACACCTCCAAGACGATCAGTTTCAGACCCCCACAGGCCAGCCATGAAAGGGCGGCAGTTCGCCCAGATCCCACTGGAACCCTCCAAGACAACTCAAATCAGGACCTCCCCCAAATCAGACCACCACCGTTCTATGGTGAATTTCGGGATATTCACACGCTGATGCACATATACGCAGGAAGTTTCGAGCGGAAGCCTCGTCTGTGAGTGAATTCTGAGGACGTCTCGAGCGGGAGCCCCCTCACAATAAGGCCCGCAGATCAGGTTGGTAAGCAGAGGTGGCCACTCGGAACAGTAAGACACTGGATGGGTGGCACCTGGGAGCCTGACTCCCGAGAAAGTCTCGAGCGGAAGCCTCGTCTGCGAGTGAATTGTGAGGACGCCTCGAGTGTGGCCACTTGGAACATCGGCTTAAAACACACACACACACACACATTCAATGACACCTGGGAGCCTGATTCCCGAGGAAGTCTCGAGCAGGAACCTCGTGTGAGTGATTTGTGAGCGTCTCGAGCGGGAGCCCCCTCCCAATGGGGCCCGCCAATCATGTTGGTAACCCGAGGTGGCCACTCGGAACATCTTGTGAAAACATAGTCTCGGTGACACCTGGAAGCCTGAATCCCGAGGAAGTCTCGAGCGGGAGCCCCCTCCCAATAGGGCCCGCAGATCGTGTTGGTAATCCGAGGTGGCCACATGGAAAACCATGTAAAACGCACGTTTGGTGACACCTGGGGGCCTGAATCCCGAGAAAGTCTCGAGCGGAAGCCTCGTCTGAGTGAACTGTGAGGACGTCTTGAGCGGGAGACCCTCCCCTATGGGACCCGCAGATCATGTTGGCAATCCGAGGCGGCCATCAGACAACGTGTTCAAATGAAAAACAAAAGCTTGGTGACACCTGGGGGCCTGAATCCAGACGACGTCTCGAGCGGGAGATCCCTCCCTGTGGGGCCCTCAGATCATGCTGGTAATCCGAGGCGGCTATCGGGAAACCTCGTCAACGCATGTAGGATTGGTGGTGACACCTGGGAGTCCGAATCCCGAGGAAGTCGCGCGCGGGGTCCTCGTCTGTGAGTGAACCGCGAATGTGCTTGCAGCGGGAGCCCCCCTCCCTGTGGGGCCCGCGGATCATGCATCATGCTGTTTATCCCGGGGCGGCCTTCGTAATCCGAGGCGGCCATCCTCAATCAATCGGCAAGGACCAGCAGATACCAGGCAGGAAGCGAGAGCCTCCGAAGTCGCAAGGACGCCCGTCGGGATCACTTCCAGCTCAATTGGGACATTTTCGGGCGGGGTCCTGCCGTCGGAACATTTTCACCACATGGTGGATTACGGAAACCCGGAACCCAAACACGTTCTCATCTCTTGGCGGCGAATCTCTCTTGCTTCCGCCGCCTTCCGCTGAACTTCCGCCGGTTTCCGCTGGCGGAGGAGGCCTGGCTGTGTTTCCACCGACCTTCCGCCGTGGACGTGAGGACAACTCCTTCGCTCCCCGAAGGCAGGGCCCCTTTTCGAACGCCCCACACGGGCCTCAGATCGAGAACGGAACGTGTCAGCGGCGAGACTGTGTTCTGCACTCAGGCGGCAGAAGAGGCCAGCGATCGTCAGATCGTCCAGAGATTTCACCAACGACTTCACGCAAGGAAGCTCGGGCCGTGGGGGCGGGACAGTGTGACGGGGAAGCTCCTCCTCCTCCTCCTTCTCCTCCTCCTCCTCCTCCCGCTCCCTTCTCCTCCTCCTCCTCCTCCTCCTCCTCCTCCCGCTCCCTCCTCCTCCTCCTCCTCCTCCTCCTCCTCCTCCTCCTCCTCTTCCTCCGCCTTCCGCCCTCCTGCGGCAAGCTCGTGTCGTGACGACTTGTTGTTCTTTTAGTTCCCTGCCTTTTTGGGACGCCGCGTGGATCGTTCACCCATGAGCGATCGCGGCTTTCCGATCGCGTGGCTCGCTCGATGTCGGTCAGTTTTGGGCCACGGCGGCGTTCAACCTTTCACGCCCGCGCCGGGAGCGCCGCCGCGCAGACTCGGCAAGAGCCTGCCGTCACTGCCCCGCGCTCCCGAAAAAACTGCGGGGGGAGGGCGCGCAGGGGTGGGGGGGAAGGGGGGTGAGGAGAGAGAGGCGGGAGGGGGGGAGGGGTTGGGGAGGGGGGGGGATGAGCTATGGAGGAGGGGGGGAGGGGGGGGAGGGAGGGGGGAGGGAGGGAGGGGAGGGAGGCGGGAGGGGGGAGGGCTCGTGATGAGCAGATGCAGGGGGGGCAGGCGCCGGGGCGAGAGGGTCCTTCCTTCGTAGCAGCCGAAAAAAGACGTGTCGACTACGCGGGGTGAGAGGGCCAGCTTCTGAAAGCGCCGAGGCGAGAGGGCCTCTCGGAGCAGCCGAAGACGTCGCGACCGCGCAGGGAGAGCAAACCAGCTTCCGAGAGCCCGGCTCGCTCGAGAGCACGCCGCAGGCGGCGGGCAGTCGACGGGGGCGAGGCGTGGGAGCGGCGGCGAGGGCAGCATGTGTGCTCGGGAGGAGGCCGGCCAGGGGGGGGAGGCGGAACGAGGCACTGCACAGGGGCGAAGCTGTCCTCGTAGAGGAAGTCGCCCTGCTGGTAGTTGTGGCTGCTCCCGTCGTCGATGTAGACGCGGCCCCTGTCGCGCTGGCGCCCCCCCGCTGAACGGAGCCCGCCGCCAGCGGAGCGCGACGCCTCCCATGAGGAGGCCTTGGGCTCCCGCGAGATCCAGCGTTCTGCCCGCTGTGGCTTCGGGAGGTACTCCTGGCATAATTAGCTCCTCTCTGGAGCTCCTTTTCCTCCTCCTCATCCTCCTCTTCATCTCCCCTTTCTCCTTCCCCACCTCCCCCCCCACCTCCTCCTTCTCCACCTCCTCCTCCTCCTCCCCCTCCTCCTCCTCCTCCTCCTCCTCCTCCTCCTCCTCCTCCTGGGGCCCTCTGGGCCTCGTGAGTGCCCTGAAGGCCGCCGCTGCCTCCCGGCAGATTCTGGGGACGGCTTGGGCCACGGACGCCCGTTCTGGCAGCGGCACGCCGTGCAGGTCTGGCGGGCTCCAAAGGGGACGCTGCCATCCTCCCCTTGTGCTGGCGGCAAGCCCGGGGGGCGAGGTGGGAAGGGGCGGGCCTTCCCAGAAGTCTCGGAAGTCTCCCGGCCTTCCGACGAGTTCTTGGAGTCGTCTCCGAAAACGCACAAAAAACGCTTCTCCAGAAAGCGGCGGAGCTCTCTTCCGAGAAGCCCCGCCGCCTTCTGAGAAGGCCTTCTCCCTCTCATTTCCCCCCGGGCGCGCCGCCGAATGTGGCTTTCGGGCTGTAGCTTGGGTCTCCGGCGGCCGTTCGGGACGATCCCGGCACCCCCGGAACGCTCTCGCCGAGGCGCAGCCGCCGGAACGCATCCCGAGGCTGGAAAACCGTCGAGCACCGACGGAAACGTCCGAAAACCTGCGCCCTGCAAGCGCCCGATGCTCCGCGGCCGGCCACGCGGGAGGTCCTCTCCTGGGCCAGCCGCCCCGGCTTCGATCCCGCACGGGGTGGTCGATCTACTCATACAGTGCGGGCGCGGCCGCAAGAACCCCTCGCAAGAAATCCAACCCTGAAAACCAGCGCGCGAGATGCACCTGAGGGGAAACCTGGAGCATCCTGAACGCAGCAGCTTCTTCAACGGCCGCGGGAAGTCACCGCGCAGCTCGCGGAGCGGAGACACCCAGGATGCCCTGATGGTTTCTTGATGCGCGCCCCCACTGCAGAAGGTCGATCTGATCGCAGAGCACACCCTGCTGTTGCACCACGTGAGCCATGGACTGCGCCCCATCGGCGCGCCGGAGGAAAACAGGTGTGCCTGTGCGTGGTTCTCTTTGGGAGACCGCTCGGAACGAACTACCTGGTGGTTGGTGCGATGGTGGTTGCTACGCTGTCTGAGTGCGAAATAACTCGCTATCCATGCAGGCTTGACCACCCAGTCGTGATCTGTATGGCGGGTCGCCAATTCTGCATGCGGTTTTGCGACGCAGGACCCCCGCCCCGCCAACCACCGCTTGGGATTATGAGATGGTTGCTAGGAATCCGCCAGCCCTTCGGCGTGTGGAGGACGCTGTCGTCGTCGTCGTCGTCGTCGTCGTCGTCGCCATGGTCAGTCCCAAGCAAACGGAGGAACAAGGAGAAGGAACGACGTGGTCAAGGGTAGGTCCCGGTCAGAATTCCGCCCCCTCCCCCCTCCCTTTGGGCCTGGCGGGTCCTGGGAAGGGGGGGGTCGCCAGCGGGTGTCACAAGGGAATGCGGCACCAGCCGTAAGACCTTCGCAGTAAGTTCGGGCTTCTGCGTTTTGATTGAGGCTTCAAACTGTTTTTGTACGTTGGCTCAACTGAGGGGCAGCGCTAGGGGGGGAACTGGCAAAGGGGGGGATGCAGCGACCTGGAATCGGCGATGTATCGCCGATAGATCGGCGATAGGCCCCCGATAGTGAGTCCGCACCTTCCTGGGCAGCTTGGGGCTATCAGACACCTATCGGCGATCAATGGGCGTTTGGGGGTCGATGCACCCCCCCCTTTGCCTATCCCCCCCGTATCGTTGCCCCTGATCAACTCGGGTGCGCCGGAGGGGGGGGGGGGCCAGGAAACGGGCTGAAAGAAGAGGAGGAGGGGGCCGCGACATCTGGGAGCTCTCATGGCCCTGGTCATGATGTCCACTCCACGCACACACCCTCCTCCTGCTCCTCCTCCTCCTCCTTCTCCTCCTCCCCCTCCTCCTCCTCCTCCTCCTCCTCCGTCGCCTCCTCTTCCTGGCCCTGGTAATGATGTCCCTCTCGCGGACGCCCCCGACCCACCACGAACGCCGGAGGCACCATCCCGTGCCCGTCGACGCAGAGGAAGGGGGAGGAGGAGTCGGACGAACAGGATAGGCAGGAGGAGGGGAGGGAGGAAGCGGAGGGAAAAGGGGAGGAGGAGGCTGTAATGAACTGTGCTAGAACATGGAGCAAGCTCCCTCGCTACCAGCGACATGTAGGATCCTTCAGTTATGATGAGAGGGAGCCCCAAGTTCTCATGGGCCTGCTCGAGGCTATCCTCCTTGCTGCGCTCAGAGTGGCACCGCAGCACCGCTCCCATGGGATCCTGAAGCGCATGCAGCGCAACAACTCTATAATAAGTCACGGGGGTTCGGGCACCTCGAGCCTGTAAGAGCCTCCCTCGGCCTAAGGACCCGAACCATCAGGACTACGCAACTTCCCCACCCACTAGGCTCGGACATCCAACGACGGAACAACGACCGAATCGAGATTGGGGGGTGGGGGGTGCGCCGAATTGGGGTGCATGCCTCTCCGAAGCCTGCTCCTTTGAGTGGCAAGACCTGGATGGGCGCTACCATTACAAATTGCCGCTGGGCCTGACGCAAACCTCAATTTTTCCTGCACGCTGGCGCTGCAACACGTCCAAAACAATACTGGAAACTCGTGAACGAGCCCATGCACAGACGCTTGCACGATCTCGTGCCTCTGGAAAAAAAACACGGCTTGAGGCGGCCAACGCTCCCGCCGACTGCAGGAGGGTCCGCCATGGGACCTGGGGCCGCATCTCCCTCGGGGTTCAGCTCGGGCGGGGGGCTGTGCGCGAGCGGAGCGTCGCTCTACGCTCGCAGTGCTTTTCCCGCGCTTCAAACTCGTCAGCCCGAGCTGCCAAACGACAATATCGAGGTCAATTACAAGATCTGCAGCGCCTCCGACCCCGCGTGAACCTTGGAAGCCAGCATCGTGCAGCCACTCGTGGCGCTTGCCGAGCCAGACATCCCCAGGACGAACAGCTCTTTCCTCTTGGGCCTGGAGCGACGGTTTGAGGCGTTCAGCAGACGCGTATGGGATAACCGCCGTCGAATCCCATGACAGTCGAACGGATCCAATTGTGGTTTTATTTTGCTTCGGTGGATCCGATTTCCGTCCGCGCGGATCCGATTTCGAATGTTCTGGTTCCGCTTCTGGCCTTATTTTTAACAACGGGTCCGATTCCTACCCCGTTTTAAATCCGCCAGCCCCCTTGCGGGGCCACCAGGCTGTAGGACCAGTTTCCAGTTTTCACTGTTACGGTTCTGCTTCTTGCTGCTTACTGTCTTTTGTTGATGGACCGCGCGAGGGGGGGGAGCCGCAAACCGTCATGTTTACCACGCCCAGATCGCGTGCTCAGAATTTCTGGGGGGGCGGGCGTGACACTTCAAAATCAACTAAGATCGCGCCCCCGAGACCAGAAACCCTTGCAACTTCTACAATGCTCGCGTCCCCGAAACGTCCCCGAAGCTATGCACCCTAGAAGAATACGCCGTATTCGTGTCCCCGAAGCCATAAACCATTGCAAACTATGCATTACGTGCGTCCCCGAGGCCACAAACGTTCGTAAATCACGCGATATTCGCGTCCCCGAAACTATAAGCCCTAGTAGATGATGGAGTATTCGCGTCTCCGAAGCCATACGCCTGCGTAAATGATGAATATTTGTGACCCCGAGGCCAAACCCTTTTAAAATATGAAATAACCGTGTGTCCGAGGCCATACACCCGCGTAGATTACGCAACCGTCGTGTCTCCAAAGCCGTAAACTGGTGTAAAGTACGCTATATCTGCGACCCCGAAGCCACACACTCTCGCAACTTACGCGCGATTCGCGTATCCGAAGCCTGAAACAGTCGAAGTACAACGCCGAATTCAACAAAATCATTCAAATGTCAATTTGTCTTGCCGATTACTCATCGTCTTCGCGTGAAGTCCCGACGCTGCTTCACGGCGGCGCCAAGGCCTCATGATTTTGCGATTGCACGGCAGATTATCCGAGAGAATGGGCAGGCGGCTGGGGGTGGAACCCTTACGGACCTTAGTTTATATCATTACATTAAAACTGAAGCCGGACAACATTGTATCCGCGGACCCCAGAACCCGCCCGTGTTAACATTCTACGGGGGAAGGGTGTTCGGCCATCAACGTCCCTGGATGGTCCTGTGCTGTCTTGTACGCTCCCATCAACTTTCCGCGCGCGGGGGCCCCACTCAACGTGAATGCATTTCTCTCCTCCTGGACGAGCTGCACGTAGCTCGTCCAGGCGCCGTCTGGTCGGCGGCGCCGATGTTATCTGTCGAACTCATCATCGCCATTTTCACTCGAAGAGGAACATCTTTCGTCCTGTTTAACTATGGACACGTCTTCAGCCCCATGCTCGCAGGCTTCGACCACGATCTCTTGCTGCTCGGGGACCCCCCAAAGACGCGCACCAGCCTTGGCCCGTTGATCTGCCAGCTGGAGCCCCCGAAGCATTCGTAGGTCGTCCAGGGAGGCAGCCTCGGATAATGCCTTTATGTGGGCATTCACTTTGAACGCGCTAGAGGAGGCCGCCGCAGTCTCCACTTGTGTCTACGCCCAATCCTGGGGTCGAGGACCTGAATCGAACTGCGAGCACAGCTGACCGATCCAGCGCAATCGCTATGCACTTCAAGGGCTGCGCCAGCGTTGCCTTTTGAGCGCGGCTCCGAGAACCCAGCTAGCACGTGAGACGCGGCGCCCCCCTGTCCCAGGCCCATTGGTCAGGCCCCCGCGGCCTCGGTGCCACCGCAGACACGCAGGCAAGACACTGCCTTTTCCTGTTCACTTGCAACGCCGACCAGGCCGCGAGCCT